TTTCTTCCTTTAGCTAAAAAAAGTTGAAGCCATAATTTTGCCTCAACTCCTAAATAAAAACTAATTAGATACCTTTGTAATTTCTCCCTCCAAAAAATTAATTCTATTATCCTTTTCCTTTAAACTTTTATCATTATCAGCTTTTAATTTTGAAAATTTATCTTCAATTAATTTTTCAAAATATTTTTTAATTTCTGCAATTTCACTTTGATGATCAGAATTTATTTTTTGAATTTTCTAAAAATATTTAAAATAACTTCAAAAGAATAATCAAACTATATTTACATTCTCAAGCATAATATTCTTTTCTTCAATATTAAAAGTTTTATTAATTAAATTTATTTGATGATTGTTAAATTCTTTTTGAAGTCTTATAAAATCAGTTTTCTCTTTTTGAATCCGAATTAAATCAGAATTTGTTCCACTCATTTTAAAATTATTTTTTGAAGAGAGCCAAAATTTAAATTTTCAAAATTTATTTAATTTTAAATGAATGAATTTTATGTAAAAAATATTTTGTGAATTTCAGAAAATGAGGAATTTTAAAAACCTTTAAACCTTTAAAAAAGTAATAAAAGTATAGACGGAGTATTAATTTTATAGAATATAATTTTTCTCAATTAAAATATAACTTTTATGGAGATTGTTTAAAAATAAATAAATGAATTGAAAAATATTGAATTTACCTAATACATACATATATGTGTATTTATTATTACATTAAATGGGTTGGTAATAATTCGTTTCCGGCCCCCCCTTTTCTCCGTCCCAAGTTTTCAAAAAATAACCACTTTATTTTCTTTTCTTCCATCCCAATTGCCTCACTATATTTTTTCTACAGCCAAATAAAAAGGATTAATTTATTTAAAAAGATAAAAGTAGTGAGAAGAATCTTTCTTTGAAGTAAAATGGAACAACTGAAAAATTTTACACCTTTTGATTTATTTAAAGAATTACGTTTGAACGACGATTTGGATACATGGTACAATAAGCTTAAACTTCATGGAAAGGTATAAGACTTCTGCGCCTAGCAAATTTATGCTTGCGAAATGGTCAAATTTCCTGGATTTTTCAACAAAACATGATTTACAAATAAAAATTCTTTACACGGACTACCTTGACTTTTCCTAAATTACTTGCAGCATAAAGTTAATTTTTATTAAATTTAGATTTTAATTTTACAAAATGTCTGAAGGATCTACAAATTCTGATTTTGATTTAGTGGTAACAAAAATTAAGGTTAATTATTTAATTAAATATTTAAAGCGTTTTGTACAAATTAAAAATAAATGGTGTGAGATTAATGATTATTGTTGTGTTAATAAATGTTTAAATGAAATAAACACAAATAATATAAAATGTATTAAAGGAAATGGATTCGTTAAATTAATTGATGATGAGAATTGTAAATATCTTAATTGTTTAAAGGGGAAAGGTAAATAATTAGTTTTTATTAGAGTTGATCAAAACGAGACCGAAACCGATACCGAGATTCTCGGTCCATTTCTCGGCGAGAAACGATACTGACTCAAAGAAACAAAATTCTCAATATTGTCCAAGTTTTCGTCCATATTTTTTTTCGGATATCCGACCATAACAGAGAAAGCGAATTGTTTTCGAATAAGGTCTTCCAAAATTACAAATTTTCGCCTGCGGCGCTGAAAATTGGAAGAAATATTGTTGACTTGCACTTCTTCTGAAATCAATGGTTTGGTTAACCGAAATTTTTATTATAGCCATCCGCGGATATCCGCGGATGGATATGCCTCAAAAGTTGTACGGATATAAACGGATACGGATGTCGACCTCACGGATATACCTATTCGGATACGGACAAGGATGAAGGCTAACTGCTGATAGCCTTCATCCTTTGCTATGCCTCCAACTCACTCGACATCCGTCGACAATCCCATGGTATCTTTTTAAATTTAAGACTAAATAGTGAAAGTTCTTGAATAGTTGATAATTGAAAATTGTAATTGAAAAGTGAGAATTGAATAGTAAGACTAAAGTATAGTAAGACTAAGTATGAATAGTAAGACTAAATATGAGTTGTTTTTATTTTTAAGTTTTTGTAATGATTTGGACTTTGGCTAGCGGAACGGGCTCGCCCGAAGCCCCTTCCGATGATGAAAATAATGAATAAATTATTTTCGCTGTTAAACCGCAAGATTTAAGGTATATACCTTTGGCCATATATTTACTTTTGCACTAGACTGTATGTATGTCAATATATTTTAGGTTTAATAAATATTTTTAGGTTTTAATAAATACGTTGAGGTTCATATTCAAAATAATTTTACTAAATGAGAAGATTGCATTAATTATTCTTTATTCTATTTCGAAATCAAAGCTAAACGGGAAGGAGATAATCCTGCTTACAACTGGATAACTATTGGTCTTGAAAATATCAATAAAGCTGTGATTAATTTGCTTCCAGTTTATGGAATAATTGAAAACGAAAGATGTGAAGTATTTAAAATTGAAGATTTTTGCTGGAATGATGAAGATATTTTCGGTTGTGGATTAGTTTATCCACCAACTGATAAATCACCTAAAAAGTTACCTTATATTTTCTTTACTCAAAATGGAAATCAAATTGGTTAGTAAAATTTTAGTCGAGAAGATATTAGTTATTTTTAAGGCAAAGCAGTATTATTGAAAGATAATTATGACACTTATGAGCAAGTTATTTGGATAAGATGTTGTTCTGTAGAAGCAAATTTTGGTAATGATTTGGAAACTAAGCCTTTTTGTTATGACATTACAAAACATTTTGTGATTAAAGAATTTTATGAGGACTCTGATGTTGATTGATTGGAAATTACGAAGAAAATTATTATTTTTTTGAAATAAATTTGTTGTTTTTGAATAAATTGTTTTATAAGAGTTTACCGGATAAATTATGAAAGTTATATGGATGAAAGTTTAGCCCAAAACGATTTGTTTTAAAATAATTGATATATAAATACTGTCCTATTAAATTTAACTTGTCATTGTGCTTTTTCCTAAGGTACAAAATACAGGGTGCGCCATAAGTAACCGGACACTTGTTTTCTATCATAACTTTATTAAAACACAATCAAATAAAATCGAAATACAATCAGATGATAGAGAATTAAATAAGGAACAATAATAATCAAGAAGTTTCGAAATGCCCACCCTTGGCTTTGATACAGAGGCGAAGGCGCGAAGAAAAATTTTCTCAAATAGCACGCACCTTTTTGAGTGTAATTAAGTCCCACTCTCGGGTGAGAGAATGGCGCAGAGACTCCAAACTTTTTTGAGGCTTAGCACAGACCCTGGACTCCAAAATTGACCAAACAGAATAATCCTCGGGTTTAAATCCGGGGAGTGGGGCGGTAATTCCTGAGCGCTGATGAACCCAGGAAAATTGGCCTTGCACCAGTCCTGAACTTCTTTCGCCTTGTGTGCCGGAGCAGAGTCCTGTTGGAAAATCCAGACCCTGCGACCGAAATGGCTCTTGGGTACTTTCCTGTTATGACGCAACAGTCAGTTTTTTCGTCAGTTTTTTCGAAAATTATGTAAAAATGGTCAGTCTGAACAATAATTGTAGAACCCATCGAGCTGAGTCGAATGATACCAAAATCAACGAATTCTGAGGAGATTTGACAAAGTTATGACATTATTTAGACCTACCGGAGTCGACGACTTATGTCATAACTTTGTCAAATCAAGTCGGATTTGGTTGATTCTGGTCTCATTCGACTCAGCTCGACGAGCTCTTTCGAATGAGCTATGATTTGTATAGATTTTCGTCTTTATGATTTTGTGCCCCTGTGGTTTAGGGGTCTGTATTTCGGTCAAATCAAGTCGAATTTTGTTGATTTTGGTGTCATTCGACAAAGCTCGATGTGTTCTACAATTGTTGTTTAGACTGACCATTTTTACATAATTTTTGAAAAAACTGACGAAAAAACTGACTGTTGCGTCATAACAGGAAAGTACCGGCTCTTGAACCGAGGCTTCAGAACACTCTAAAAGATTTTCCGCAAGTAATAGTCTTTGTTGACTTTTACCCCAGAATCCACGAAAATAAGGGGTTTTTTGCCTTACGCCCAAATACCGGCCCAAACCATGACAGATTGGGGATGTTGGGAATGAGTGATAAGCTTATCGGAAAGAGGAGATTCTGTAGTCCAGGTTCTATAATTTTGATGGTTGTGAACGGCTTTTATTGTAAAAATTTTTTCGTCTGTGAAAAAAATGTCCGGACATGCGTGCCACTGGAGGAGCAGTTTGCATCTTTCAAGCCTAACTTTTTTGGTTTTTTCGGTTAGAAGTTGTGCTTTTTGGATATTGTAGGGGTTTAACCCAAGTTCATTTTTGGCTATTTGTCTGACGGTCATCTCACTTATTCCAGTTTCACGAGCCAATTTTCTTACGGAGGGTCGATAATCGAGATGCACCCACATTTTGATCATTTTGATATTCTTGGAAGTGATTACGGAACGAGGTCTTCCACTTTTTTGTAAGTTCTTAGTTGTGCCATCATTACTAAATTAATTTCAAAAAAATTTTCTCCCAAAAAATTTTCACCAGAATTTTTTGAAAGTGTATTGCACAGTGACTTTTGGGACATCCAAATGAGGTGAAATTTTGCGGACAGAATTTTTTTGCCATTAGAATATATTAGAATTTATTAGAATCACGTTGATTTATTAGAATTATTTTGATTTATTAGAATTTATTAAATCAATCAATTTATTAGAATCAAATATTAGAATCACGTTGACTAGCCATAATAGAGAATTGAATGAGCTAAAAAATAAGCCTAAAATCAATTAAAAATATTGATAACAAAAAAAGTTATAAGGAATTCAAAAGTGTCCGGTAAAGCCTTGTACAATTATTTAGAAATTGAATTATAAATTTGATCAAACAACCAGGCATTATTTATTAAAACTTTAAGCTTTGGTTATTTTAATTAATAAAAATTATAAATGGAAACGAGTAAAATTAAAAAACAATTTAAATTTTCAATAAATTTCTTTAATTGAATGTTTTGAAATGTCATAATTAAATGGCCTTGTTTCCAAATTATTTCCAAAATTTGCTTCAATAGAACAACTTCTAAGCAAAACGTAAGGTATGTATGAACCAGTATTCTCCATTAATAATATACCCTTACCTTTAAAGAAATAATTTTTATAAAAATATCTATAATTAAATATTTACCAATTTGTTTTCCATTTTGTGTAAAGAATACATAAGGAAGTTCATTTGTCATATTATTTGGAGGATAAACTAATCCACAACCAAAAATATCGTTATCCTTGCAAGAAATATTTTATAGATCAAATACTTCATCTTTATCTTTACGTACTTCAGCAAAATAAGCAGAAAATCTAATTCTTTCATCTTCACTACAATTTTTCAGACACTACAATTTTTCAGACAATTTTTCAGACATGCATCTCTTTTCCATCATAATCAAACTCTCCTTCAAATTTACATTTAATCTCAAAATAATATAGAGAATATTTAAAACAATTATGTGGATTTTTGAATGAATTTTTGGCATAAACAAGAACATATAGATCATAAGCTATAATTTCTTTTAAAAAATTTAAAAATTTAATGATAATTTACCATCTTTCCCATCCAAATAATTAACATATTTAATATTTTCATCATTAATTATGTTAGCAAATCCATATCCTTTAATACAACTTCCGATGCGTTTATTTGTGTTTATACAATTATTTGAACAAAATTTGTATTCACGATCAATTTTACTCCATTTATTTTTAATGTTAACAAATACCAATAAAATACCCCCACAATTTAAATTATTTAATTTAATCAAATCACTAATTTTCTTTTCAAATAAATCTTTTGCCTTTTATAAATAAATAAAATTTTAATTAACTTTAAAAAATAGTTTTTATTTTAAATTTAAAATTTTAATTGGAGAAATTAATCTAAAATTCAATCTTTTAAAAGTACTTTTCCGTTTTCTCTCCCATTCTGATTTGCTTATTTTAATTTAGTATTTTAATTTAGTTTTTAGTAAAAATGAAATTAATTACATTTTTAATTTCTTCTTCCAAGGTATTAATTTTTTCATCTTTTTGCTTTAAAGAAATATCATTTTCAGCTTTTAATTTTTCAAAATTTTGTTTTACTTCTTCAATTTCCTTTTTATGATCAAAATTTATTTTTTGAATTTTCTAAAATTAATTCAAATTACTCAAAAAATAACCAAACTTTATCCATTTCCTTCAATTTATTTTCAAGCAAAAAATTTTTCTTCTCAAGATTTGAAGTCTTCTCCTCAACAAATTTTATTTGAAAATTATTTTTATTTAATTTTAATTCCAAATCAGAATTTGTTGATAATTCTTCTTCAGTCATCTTGTATTAGTGATGTTCGGGTATCCCGACTCCCGACACCCGACTCGGGAAATTTCCCGAGTTTTTGGCCTCCCGATCCCGACCCCTGTTGGGTATTGGCTTAGTATAAAAGCCTTCCTATTATTCAGTCGAGGTCTTAGTCTTATTGTCGCAGTGTTATTCTATTCTTATTCTATTCTGTCTCCACGTATTCGGCGTTAAGCCATATTCTATTGTTCGCAACCTATTGTATTTAGTATTGTAGATAAAGCACAGTTTGTTAGTTACTGTCTTATCTTGTGTTTATTCTTGTTAGTACGTCGACATACAAGTCACGTACATAACAGTGGCGCGGTCACAGTTATTCAATTCGAACCTATTCTTAAGTATTGTACCATGATGAAAAAATTATTCAATTATATTCGTGACGGGTGCATCACAACAAAAGTAAAAAAAGATTCGGAAAGCAAAAAGTATTCGGCAGAAATATTGTCAGTCTCTACAGAGCAAAAATTCGAATGGATTAAAAAAGAGGTTTTGTTAAATGGGCAAAAGGTTGAATTCATTCTCGATTCGGGCGCGCAAATTAGTTGCATTAATGAGGAGACTTGGAAAAAAGTCGGCAGCCCATTCTTGACGAAGGTCAACTTCAATGGTAAAAGCTACACAGGTGATGAATTCAGAATTCTTGGAAGGTTCTTTTGCTCTATTATCCTAAACGGACTTGAGGAGATATTATTAGTATATGTAACGAAAGAAAAAATGAATTTATTCGGATTACCTTGGATAATCACATTCGAGAAAAAATTCGGTTATCCAATAGTGACAACGCTATCCGACAAGGATTCAAATGATTCAATAAATTCCATTGCAAAAGAGATAATTCCGACTATTAGTGAAAATAAAGAAATGTATATAATTCAAAAGGATATTCAAGAAGAAATTCAGGCAGAATTAAAAACAAAATTCAGTCAAGTATTCGAAGAGGGTCTGGGGCATTGTAGCAAAACAAAAGCCCATCTTTACTTAAAACCAGGAGCTAAACCAGTTTTCGTTAGAGCAAAACCAGTGCCAATTGGAGTTAAGTATTCAGTCGAAGAATTAATCGACTATTAAAAATGGGTGCTATTAGACCTATTGAATTCGCTGATTGGGCAGCACCTATTCTTGCAGTAAAAAAGGCAAATGGCAAAATTCGAGTTTGTATTGATTATTCGACGGGATTAAATGAAGCCCTAGAGCTTAATAAATATCCATTGCCAACTCCACAAGAAATCTGGTCTGAAATGCACGGAAATAAAATATTCTCCCAATTAGACTTGCGTGACGCATATTTACAAGTCGAATTAGATTCAGATTCAAAGAAATTAGCAAATATTAATACACATAAAGGATTATTCGAAGTACAACGATTACCATTCGGAGTTAAGTCAGCACCAGCAATATTCAAAAAATTAATGGATGAATTAATCAGTGGATTAAAAGGAGTATTCGCTTATCTAGACGATTTGATTATTGCTTCGGAAAATGAAACCGAACATAAAAAGATTCTAATTCAATTATTCGAAAGAATCCAGAAATATGGATTAAAAATTCAATTGGAAAAATGTAATTTCTTTAAGCCTGAATTGAAATTCCTAGGTCATATAGTCTCCGCAGAAGGCATTAAGCCAGACCCAAAGAAAAAGGGTATTATTCAGAAATTACCAAGACCTCAAAATATTAAAGAATTAAAGTCAGTTATGGGCACAATAAATTACTATTCAAAATTCGTAGATCAGATGCATCAATTCAGAGGCCCATTAGACAAATTACTTAGGAAGAATTCAATTTGGAAATGGGAAGAAGAACAAGAGAAAGCATTCGAACAATTAAGTCGATTCTGAGTTCAGATCTATTATTAACGCATTTTGATCCGCAATTCGAAATTATTGTTACAGCGGATGCGTCCAATTATGGAGTCGGAGCAGTACTCTCCCACAAATATTCGGACGGAAGCGAAAAGGCAATCGAATATGCCAGTAAATCATTAAGTGATTCGGAAAAAAATTATGGGCAAATTGAAAAGGAAGCCTTAGCATTAGTATTTGCCGTTCAGAAATTCCATAAAATGTTATTCGGTCGGAAATTCAAATTAAAAACCGACCATAAACCATTACTAGCAATATTCGGAAATAAAAAAGGAATTAAAATTCAAACGGCTTCGAGGTTACAAAGATGGGCATTAATCATGACAAATTATGATTTTCAGATAGAATTCGTTTCTACAGAAAAAATGGGCATGGCAGATAGCCTATCAAGATTAATTAGCAAAAATTCAGAGAACGAAGATAAGATTATTGCTTTAGTCTCAGATTCGAACACATTCGACAGTGGTCCACCCGAGGAATTAAATGAAGTCGAAAATTCAGTTAATTACGTATTAAATATTCTATTCGAAGTTACCAATCGATAGTAACCAAGTAAAAATCGAGACGGACAACGATATTAAATTAAAAACAGTCATAGATTATATTCGAAATAATAGTTGGCCAAAGAAAATTGAAGATTCGGAATTAAAATTTTGGTCTACAAGAAGACAAAATCTTCAAATAATTAATGGTTGTATTCTATTCGCAGACAAAGTCGTTATTCCTGCTAAACTTCAAAAAAAGATTCTTGAGTCATTACATTCAACTCATTCAGGAGTTGTTAGGATGAAAAATTTAGCGAGAGAATATATTTATTGGCCTGGTATTAGTAACGATATTGAGGAGATCGCTACAAATTGTGATTCATGCCAAAAGGCATCAAAAAGGCCAATTAAAACAGATTTAAGTCCATGGCCAGCACCAAATAAAGCGTGGGAAAGAATTCATATTGATTTTGCTGGTCCATGCAAGGATGGAAAATTATATATGATTATAGTCGATGCGTATTCTAAATGGCCTGAGATATTCGGAAATACGACTACGTCAGCAAAAGATTCAATAAAAAACCTGGAATGGTTATTCTCGCATTATGGAATTCCTAAAGTAATTGTATCCGATAACGGAAGTCCATTCCAGTCATTCGAATTCAAAAATTATTGCATTAGTAAGGGAATTCATCAAATATTCAGCCCACCATATCATCCTCAGTCTAATGGTCAGGCTGAAAGATTCGTAGATTATTTCAAGAGGATGATGAACAAAAATTGGGGAAAGAGTAACTGGCTACAAGAAGTATTATTAAATTATAGAGCCACCCCACATTATTCATTAGGCGGAAAATCGCCGGCAGAAGTATTCTTAAATAGGAAATTACGAATTCAATTAGCATTAGTCAAACCTGAAAACCCAGTAAATTCAATTAATATTCAACGAGAAGAGATTCGAAATAAAATGAAAAAATGGTTTGATAGGCATCACGGAACCAAATTAAACAGATTCGAAGTGGGAGATAATATTCTATTCGGAAATTACGACAAAAATAAACAAATTCAATGGCTACCTGGAAAGATAATTAGCAAAAATGGAGTAGTATTCAAGATTCAATCGGATAAATTAAGAGCTATTATTCACCGACATGCGAACCAATTAAGAAAAATAAAAAATTTTGAAAACCAACATGTTGTAAACTTTTGGTGGAGAACTCCACAACATATTCGGAATAAAAATATTCAAAATATTCCAAGTCCAAATAAAAAGAGTACAATTCAAGATAAACCTGATAATGAAATTCGATGTGAAAGACCCAAAAGAACAATTCGACCACCTAAAAGATTAGTAGTAGAGAATACTACTCAAAAAAGGTATAGAGAGGAACCAATTCAAATTTTTTCGAAGACGAGATGATCGATGTTTGAAGTTGAGATAATATGAATTTTTTGTTTAGTTGTGTGATAATATTTTGTTGTTGTATTTTTTGTATTGC